CCAAAGTATGATCTGACTAAAACAGAACCCTTCTTTCCCCCCACTTAAAATCTGTTCCTCCTTCAGTCTCTATCTCTGTAAGCAGCAACTGCATCCATCCAATTGCTCAAGCCACAAACCTGTAAGTTGCTGTCTCTTGCACCCCACATCCAATGAATCATTGAATTCTATAGCTTGTCCTTTCAAAATATATTCAGAATCCAGCCACTTTTTCCATTTCCACCCTGGTTGAAACCACCACCATCACTCACAAAGATTACTGAATTACACTCCTAACTGGATTCCATCTTTCTTTTTCTGGTGCCGTGCTATCTCCATACATCAGCCAAATGAACCCTCCCAAACAAATTAAATCAGGTTATTCCTCAACCCTGAACTTATTCTATAAATTCGAAATGAAATCTAAATTCTACTACCTCCCTTTCCAGCTTTTTTCCTACTCCTTAATCACCGTACTCTCTTCACACTGAACACTTTATGATGCAATTCTTAAAAATTCACACTGAACACTTTATGAAGCAATTCTTAAAAATAACAATGTATGTATATATGTATAAAAGGTGAGAAAGAATAGGTCCTACCATAAAACATTAATAATTATTTATAAATTATAGCTAACGATAACTTTTATTGCAAAAAAAGTATTTCTAACTTATGTTTTTATGAATAATTTATATAGTAAAATATATAAAAAGCCTACCTATAAAACCCCTTATACCCAGTGTGGTGATAGTATTTAACCATATATAAAATCTGGGAATAAACCATGCATGTTATCAAAAAAATCAGAACAAAAGAAATTTAAAAATACAAAAATCGAAAAAAACTTTACATGTAGAAATAGTTGGTATTTACTAATATATGATCCAGGCATTTTCATTATTTCAATTAATTCCCATAATAATCCTTGTGATGAGAACTATTATCCTCATGTTACTGATGTGTAAAATGAGGCTCAGAAAGGTTAAATAAGTTGCTTGAAGTGGCAGAGTGGTGAAGCCCAAGTCAGTGCCCCTTGAATAGTCACGTTCTAAATACTATTCTAAATATCGCTTCATTATAGTCATATACAATAGTGCAAAACTGAAATGACATACACATCCACCAACAAAGGAAAAAAGAGACATCACCTGGTTATAAAAATGTTTACTGAAACTAGAATTATGTTTAAATAGATGAGTGTGTTACATGAAAAAGCCAACTATCGCATTTACTCATGAGTACAAGAAAACTTAGTATTTCATATGGAAATAAGTCAATTCAAGCCAATACATTAATGTTGGTTCAGTTTGGACAATAGAACTCTAGGTGGTTTTGTTTGTTTTCTTTTGCTTTTTGTATTTTCCAGATTTTCGTGAATGCTTCAGAACTGCTTTTAAAAACAACAAAAAACTAAATTTCATGGAACAAAAGTCAAAGTTTTATTAGTAATAAAAGAAAATTCAGTCTCAGTGTCTTCCAGCTACGGATTCGAAATCTAGATCTAAACTAGATAAAACCTTACGTATTATGCAAAAAGCGATCTACATTCTTTTAACTGACATCTGAGAACTCTCCATGGACCAGGGGTTTTTTTTCAAAGGATTTTATGATACTCTTTATTTTGTTTGTAGCCCACGTTAAGATGAGCCAAGTAAGAGCTTATCGGGATTGGTAACTATGTAGCTTAGGTGGTCCGAACGTTAATAATCTCTTTCCATAGGAGGAACATAATTCAAAAGCACTTTCAAACTACCCCTGGAGTGTGTATTGCACTAAAGTAATAATTTTTAAAAGGAAGCAAAGATGGTAAAAATAAAAAAAAGTCAAAAATGCATTCTTGTTCTCAAAACCTTGTCTCCGGGCCAGAACACTTTTTTGGTATTGTTTGGTAGTGAGGCTCCAAGCGTTGCGGGTTTTACGCTCCCTGTCTGCAAAAGAGAGTCAACGTCCGCTTTTTTTGCATTCGGCTTTTCACGGCGGTCAGCAAAGCGTGCCAGGTCCCCCGGGCCGCAGGCCGCGGATCTTGAACCTACTTACTACTAGTCGGGCCGGCCCCGCGGCTCCCGAAAACCGCCTCGGCTCTAAAGGTGGCAAGAGCGGCGAGACTGACAGGGGCAAAAGAGCGCGGGCTCACCGCCCGAAGGAGGAAACGCAGAGGCTGCGCGGCTCCGCCAGGCGCGACGGAATTGTACCGACCTGAGAAAACCAGCTCTCAACCTACAGGGAGGGTACTGCAGGGAACGGCGGGCCGCTGCCTCCCTCAGGCACGCCCACCCCTTTTGCCAGACGCACGCATGCACGCACGCATGCACGCACGTATGCACGCACGCGCGCGCTTCACTGGGCGCGCGGACGGAGTGCCCACGGTCGGGAAGCGCGTGCTTGCCGAGGCTCCGCCTCTTCAGGGACTTCCGGTCAGCGGGTTCAGCCGCTATGTTGTCCCTCCTGCGCGGGGCGGGTCTGGCTGTGTCTGCACCTCTTCGGCGCAGCGGTTTCCGAACTCTGGGAGGAAAAGCAGAAGAGTGAAAACCTGAACTTGAGTTTGCTGACTTATTTAAAGTAGTAAATGATGTTTGCCTTAATTTTAACTCTGCCTTCCCTAAACCCCATTCTTCCAAAACTACAACAGTTTTGGGTGAATCCTTAACAAATCCCTCCTAGGGCGCTCCGAAGTGGTAGTAACCGTGCAAGGGAAAGCGAATAGGTGAGAAAATCTTAAAGGAAATTGGCCAGCATCATTTTCTGAAATGTTTTTTGTTTTTACTGTGCTCTTTTTAAAAAATTTGAAGGGTTTGTCCAAGTCTAAATTTGAGCCAGTCATAATGTGGCTTCAGACCTGAACAACTCAGCCTCTATTCTCCCCACCTACCCTCCCTTGACCACACTCATACAGCATGGTCATCACTGTCAAATCACTATGTATACATTTGAAACTAATAAAACATTACGTGTCAATTACACTTCAATTAAGAATTTTTTAGACTCAAAACAGCAGAGGTGACAAAGGAGATAATACTGTGGTTGAGGAAATTGAGATTTGCCTATGAGCTTTCAGCATTAAGGAAGAGACCCAGGGAAAATAAGGTATATCTGGATGCCCATTCATTCCTCTTTCCATTACCTTTAACTCAAAACACATTTGAATATCAAAGAGCTGTGTAGGTGGGTGCTCAATAAGTAGATGCTAAACAAATGACATTTCTGTGGGAAGCAGCAGGGTAAGGAAAGAGCACAGATGGGAGTTAGATTTCATTTCATATCCTGGCTTGGCACTTGGGAACTAAGTCGTCATAAGTTACTTTACCTCCTGGTGCCAGTGTGCTAGGCTTCTTTTGCCCTAACGTATATTCTACTTTATATCCAAGATGAGATCTCTTGCAGGTTTGCACTTATTTCCAAGAATAAATCTGAAATAGGTTTGTACATACATACACTATGTTCATCTATTTTAATTTTAATTTTTATTTTAAATATTTTTTTGTTATTTTAATAACATTTGAGCCAATCTGGATACAATGACACATGGCCTTGCCTTCATGGGGGCTGGGGCAGAGAATATAATAAACCATAAATACAATAATGAATTCATGAATTCATACTACTTTTGAAAAGATACATAGAGATGAGAATCTAGAGGCAGAAAACAATTAGAACTCTGAAATCCCAACCTACACACTATTAGTAAATAATAGATATATGGTTGAAGATATAAACCATCTTTAACATACTTCTGAAAACTTTTTCCTATGAAAAAAGTCTTCCAAGTTATTATACCTGAATCTCATTGTTAAAGAGAGAGAGAAAAATCCTTCACAAAGAAGGCAATGCAATTAAGGACCATATAAAGAAATGCTACAGTGGAGTCGGGGGAGGAGAGGGAATCCACAAAAATCAGTGTTAGTGTTCCATATTAATAGAGTCCACGAAGGTAAAACGTTTAACATTTTTTTTAAAGATTTAGTTATTTGAAAGAGAGAGAGAGAGAGAGCATATGAGAGGGGGGAGGGTCAGAGGGAGAAGCCGACTCCCTGCTCAGCAGGGAGCCCGATGCGGGACTCCAAGATCATGACCTGAGCCGAAGGCAGTCGCTTAACCAACTGAGCCACCCAGGCGCCCCAAACGTTTAACATTTTAAACACGTTTAGGTTAAGCCAACGAGGGACTCATTTTGTAAGAATAAATGTATATCTTCCCCTCTGAAAACCAAGATATATAACAAGCCCAGATATTTTGAGGTCAAATTTCTATGGTGAAACCAAACTCAGTTCATTACAAGAAGGAAAGCGATCATCACCCTGATTTCAGGTTCCAGAGTATAAAGAAAGATATTTTCGAAAGAGAACGAATATAGAAACCTACGTGGTGTTAAAAGCTCTCCAAGAACCAGTAAATATTTTCTCATAAAATATTTCATTTAATCGATTACTGTAGAATTCATTATAGAAAAACAAAATCACATAAAGTGATTTGGACCAAAAATATACTGAACCAGCAAACCTAACGACTCCCGATTCGTTACCCCTAAATTAAGCAAAAGCTTAAAGGAAATGCAAAAGTTTCAAATAAATGTATTAATAATAATTCCGTATTAAAAGACATTTACGTTCTAGATACAGTCCTAACCTCCCAATATTCTCAAAATGTCTTTCTACAAACTTTCCCTTAATGCCACTTCAGATTGGGTTATCTATCCAGTAATAAGGCATTTACTATGCCTCCCACTCAGCCCGGCAGCAAAATCATCATCTTGTCCTAGTTTGAGAATTAACTTGTGGGCCCCTCAGTGAAACTAGTTCTCGGAACCGCACACAAAATACCGGTATCTGACTCCCTCTGGGGATTCTTTAGCAAGTTTTCAGAACCAAATGTTCGGTGCCAACATTCACTAGCGGGTAAGCCTAAATCATTCACCCCCTAAACCCTTAGCAGGTGCCATCTATACCTCCTCACGCCCAACCCCCGCCCCGGAAGTTGCGTCATGGCGCTCGTGCGCCATGTCCCCGGATGCACTTCTATATCCGGATTCTTAGAGCGGACTCAGAGCTCCACGGTTCCCTACGCGGTTAGCACATGCGCGAGGGTTCTGCTCCCTTTTCCTCCACTTCCACTAGCCTCTACCGTCCGGGAAGCCGCCGCCACCGCCGCCGAGGAGTCAGGAAGTTCAAGATGGCCGCCGCGGAGACTCTGTCGCTGCGGGAACAGCCAGAGTAAGTAGTCTCTGTGAGCGGTGCGGAAGGCCGGCGCCCTGGAGACCGCCAAGTGGGAAACCGGGGAGACCTGCACGGGCGGGCGGGAAAGTTCAGGCCTAAGGGCGAGAGCCAAACTTTGTCTTTCCCCGCGCGATACGTTGTTGGGCGGGAGGCGTGGGGGGCTGGCGGGCGGGCGGCCTTCGAGTTTCACTCCCGCGGAGGCCGCGGCTGTTGGGTCGAAGGCGGCCGCGGCCTGCCGCGCGTCGTTGCCCTGGGAGGCGTACGCGCGAGCGGCCTCTACAGGTCCCGAGCGCGAGGCGACTGCCGCGACTGTGCGGTCGCGCCTTAGTATTTCTCCCTCTGGGACCGAGCCGAGCTCCTTGGCTGCAGCACTCAGAGGCATCGGTTTTGGGCACCCGAGGAGCAGTGGCGGGAGAGGGGCAAGCAATAAGACTTTCTGCCGTCGTCCTGCTGTTGGTGTCAGTTTTAGGACCTGAAAGCAGGGAGGAGAAGGGATGCTAGGGCTACCCTCTTTGACCATCCCAGAGCTATATAATAGCTTGTCGCTAACGGGGTATTTCGTTTCCCCATCCCTGTGCTCTTACTCCAGCATCATTCGATCTATTTTTTTTCCCCTCTGCCTGTTGGCAGCTTATTTGCCAACTTGCAAACTTGAGGCAAAGTAAGATCAAGTTCTTGGTTTTGAGGCCTGACATTTTTGGCCTGAGTTTGTAGGGCTTCTTTGGGAGTACAAGGGGAAGACGTAGTAGCTGCTTCCAAACCCAAGCACTTTATGTCTATAATTAAGCTAACGTAAGAATCGATGCGGCCAAGTGAAAACATTAACTTGTATGTGCTGCAAAGTCTAACCGTTGCTTAAAAGCAGTATTTTGTTCTCCTGTTCATGTTGGGAAAACTCAAACAAGAACCCAAAATAGAGAGTGAATTTTAAAACAGCATTCATAGAGCGATCTTTTTGTGCATCAGCATTATCTGATTTTTTTTTAAAAATCCGTTTTAGGAAAGGGATACAGTCTCCCAGCAACTAGGGACTGAGAGGAGAAATTTTTACTACCAGGCGCCCCTACACTTCATTGCTATGCATTCAGTTCTAGACTCCTCAGTCATTTGCTTTACTCAAAATTAAACTAAGTTGAAATTGAGGGCTTTTGAAGATTGCTCTGTTATCTTCACAAATTGACTTAGAAGAGAGCAGATGGATTCTAAAGTTTTAACTAGACTTCACCTCCTTTTGTTTCTCATTGAGTTCACAGTGTGGCACGTTCCAGTATTTATGCCAGCACAATACAAATGTTATGCAGCTGTTTTTTCTAGCAATCTCTTCAAAGTTCTGTGGTATCATGTCCATTTATTTGATTTCAGGGACCGTTCAGATTAATTTTGAGGAGTGCTTGGATCATATTTTATATGCATATTCAATACTAGACTTAATAATTAGCATTTATTTATGCCTCTGCAATAAGAATGCCCCTGAAATAAATAGGCTTTAATTCTACCTCGCTTCCTCACAGGACTCTTGGTATAAATGGAGTATTTGGTCTGTAAGTGTCCCACTTAAAATGTTTAACAAAGAAAATAAATTTTGTATGAAAGCAAGTACTGTGTGCTCCTCATAGTGAATGCTGGAATATAGTGTCTGAACAGTTCTTTAGAGGACACTGAGTAGTTTACAATTGTATGAGCTCTATTTGAAGTGGAACATTTGGGAGAAAATAAAAAGTTAAGTTCCCTGAAGGCTTTTTAGTGGCTTTTAGGTTTGTCCTTTAGCTCTCTTTAGTTCAGCCTCTTTGATGGTTTTAAACATTTAAATTTTTATCTGCATTTACTTGTTTGCACTTATCAAGTACCAGATACTGTTCAAAGCACTGAACAAATATTTTATCCTTATAACGACCCTATGGGGGTAGATAATTTGTTTTCTATATTTTACAAATGGTTAAACTGAAGCACAGAGAAATTAAGTTAACTTACCCAAGGTCACACTAAGTGACAAACCCAGGGTTTAAACCCAGGTAGTCTAATTCTAGAGCCCTGCTCCTGACTATTGTACTGTGTAGTCGCCCACTATACATTGTGGTTCCTTTTAAAAATAGCCTTTAAGGTTTGAAATCCTTTTTATTGATTTCCAGTGTCCCAGAAAGGTCCATTTTTTTTTTTTTTGATGTGACAGTTCTAATTCTTTGAAGCTTAATTTTCCATACCTGATTTGGAAAAGGAGGGATGGAGGAGTTCATTTTAAGACTAGTCTTTTGAATCCATTCTTACTTTTACATCTACATTAATTCTGTATTAAAGTAGTTGAAGTTGTCAGAGAAACAGGCTTGATTACTTTCTTTGTAAAGAAGAGAATGCTCAGTATTCTGTTTCCAGAGCATAAATTGAATGCCTCCCAAATAAAATGTCATTAAGAGTATTCTTTTTAAAAATTTAAAAGACGAAGTTAAAATAACACTAGTGGTTCATAATCAGTCTTTATTTTAAAGTTGTTTCATTGTGCTAGATGCCCAGAGACCTTTGTTTGAAGGATGAAACTTATACGTTGCATTTAACAAAATAAATGATAAAAACACTCCTAACACTTCCATATAGTCTGCACTTCAAATCAGCTTCGTTTCCAAATAATGTGATTTGAAGGATATTACTCAATTCTCAGTAAGTACTGTTTTATGACAGTCTTGTAGACCATTTTAAATGTTGGTTTAAACATTCACCTGCTAAATGTGTAAATTGTAAAGTGTTCAATTGCAGAACGTAAGTGTTAAAATGTAAATTTACATATATGGAACTTAAATACCTGTATTTATTATAAACATGAACTATGCAAGAAGACTATGAAGTTTCTTATCAGGGTACCTTTCCGTAAAGTTTTAGAAGAAAGTTGTTGATGATGAACCTAAATTAGCTGTTTTCGCACAAGCTTGTTATGTGTAATATGCCATTGATTCATTGAGTTCACGATTTCCTGATGTACCTAGTCAGACCTCAGTTGGTATTTTCTATGGAATTTGCATTGAGAGAGCAACTTGAGGAGGGTGAAGGTCTACTAACCCCGGTGTAGGAGAATAAACTAATAGGCCCTAAGTGCTTATAGCATCTTTATCAGTAGTGTAGTCATTTCTTTAGATAACATTCATTAAGTTACATTAGAAACTAGGGATACTCATGGAAATAACTCAAGTGACACGGGACATAATGATGTAGCTTCTAATTCTCAGAAGCTTTAGGAGCTGGATTTTCTTTTGAAGGAAATTACTTCCTCTGTGGGTAAACTCTTAAGAATTTTGATTTGCAACTCCTTGAAGGCTTGTAAATTGTAGAAAGCACTAGAAAAGGGTTCAAAGAGTAGATTTTTCTTGGGGAGGGAGGTAATTAAATTTAAATCATTTTGGGGCACTGCATTCACCAGATAGGTGTATGCACTGTGTGAGGCACTGGAGATACAACTGAGCAAAAACAAAATGGTTCCTGTCAAGAGATGAGTATAGTATAGCCAGTAAGCACAGCTGTAGTCTAATGAATACAATTTTTATTTGTTCTTCTATATAAATCATTTATTGACACAACAGATTACTTATTGAGTACCTGCTTACTATAGGTTAGAAAGTTTACTATAGGTTAGAAAGTTTACTAGGCCTTAGGGATAGAGCAGTGAACTAAATAAATTAAAATTCTGCTCTCATAGGGCATGTGTTACAATACGGAGAGACAAACAAGAATTAGGTGGTGGCAGTTACTTTAGAGAAAAAAATAAGCAGAGAAAGGGGATATGTGTGTGGTAGGGTGAGGATTGTGATTAAAATGAATTGGTGAGGAAAACTTGACTGAGAAAGTAATTTAAGCAAAGACCTGAGGCTAGGCAAAGGAACCAGCAATGTATATGTCTGGGAAAAGCATTCCAGTTGGAGAAACAGCAAGTACAAGTACCAAGGCCCTGAAGTAGGGTTTACCTATTGTTTAAGGGGAGCGGTGTGGCTAAAGCATAGTGAGGGTGGGAGGAAAGTAGTAAGATCAATGTGTTGGGGAGGTTGGGCAGATAGTATGGGGCCTTGTAAACAATTTTGGTTTTTATTCTGAATGTGATAGGAAGCAATAATCAAGTTTCACACAGAGTAGTGATATGATCTGACATTTTAAAAGTATCTTCAGTCAAATGGAAGAGTTCTTGACTGACTTGGAATGTAATACTAGCCTTCTCACTAGCTTGATGTGTGTTTGACCCAAGGCAGGACCCTTAAACTTCCTTGAAACTTAGTCTCCTCTGTCCTGGAGACTTAGACGGTATTTCTTCAATACTTTGTGTGGTAGCCTTTTATATATGAACTTATTGCTACAACAAGCCTGTGATTTATCAATACTGTTATTTCCCCAGTTTGTACCATTGAGAAAACTGAGGCATGGAGGAGCGACTTGCCTAAGGTTAGACTAGGTGTGTCATGTTGGAAACACCATTTGAACAAGGTAGTTTGACTCAGTCCATGCTCTTTGACCATATTACTGAAAATAACATTCTTAGTATCAGCCCTGACAGCTCCACAGTGTCATGGTGAGAAATATTTATCCAGTTTCTGAGGAAGAATAATCTCTTACTTTTGAGGCACTTGGTTTGTGCTAGGCACTATTATGAGCCTTAATAACATCTATTAACAACCATGTGATCCTCACAGCTTGCTTTGAGGTAGGTACTATTTTCTGCAGTTTGTAGATGAGGTGCCTGTAGACTTGAGGCCACACAACTAGTATTGGAATCAGGATTTGAAACCAGATAGTCTGGCTATGGATACTGGTTCCTAAAGACACATTAGAGGATCTTCAGATAGTTTGAGTTTTAGCTTATTGACTAGAATTTTGTACTTTGGGCACTGAGATTTTATATGCCTGAAAATCATTGTCAGCCTTTAAAAAGGTTCTCCATACTTGTCTCCATATCTTGAATTAGCCTAATTGAGTTTTTCTCACACGTTTTCCCCTATAAGTTGAGTTTTGGGAAAAAAACAAAACAAAACTATACTACCACTTTCTAGGTTGTGTGATGGGAGATTTCAGGGTAAGGGAAGTGGTTACTTATATGAGGATATAGCCTATATAAGGAACAAAGTTGAAAAGTCTTTGTATCGGAGCGCCTGGGTGGTTCAGTCTTTTAAGCGTCCGACTCTTGGTTTTAGCTCAGGTGGTGATCTCAGGGTCCTGGAACGAGCCCCATGTAAGTCCCCATGCTCAGCGGGGAGTCTGCTTAAGGATTCTCTCTCTCTCCCTCCTGCTGCCTCTCCCTGTGGGTGCGCGCACACTCTCTGTCAAATAAAAACCTTAAAAAAAAAAGAAAGAAAAAGAAATGTCTTTGTGTCTTCTACTTAAACCTGTGGTTTCCCCTCTCTCCCCACCGTAATAGAACCATGTTGTTTGTTTTTGTTTTCGTTTTTTTTTCACATAAAGATACTACACTTTCTTTTTCTAAGTCTTTGAGAAAATTTGATGATCCAGAGAACCCTGGAAAGCCTCTTTGCAAAGCCTCTTTTCTCCACCGGTGCCAAAAGTTCAGTTGCAGCTTCTACAACCATTCGGTATGGTCAGGGGGAATTTATTTTTTCCCCAACAGAGAAGAACAGCCATTAGCAGCCTTCTATTTTTGATGTCTCGCCCCACTGTGAGGAATGTGCTAGTTTTAATTCATGTTGATTCCTGTAAGCATTTGACTGTCTCAAGTATTTCCCCCAGAACTTTTTCAGGAAATGGAAGTCATTTGGCTGATATTTGCTTCGTGACTCCAGGTTGCTTAATTTATTGGACAGAGGTGGTAATTTATTTTAAGGACAAAGTGCTGAAGTGGGGAAATTTATAAAGCTAAATATTATATATTTTATTTTCATACGTGTTTGAAGTGCAAATCTGTGGAAATTCCATTTGTAGGACCAAGTTGACATGCCCATCTTAACATTGTATGCTACAAGAACTCTTCTGATGACAGAATTTTGATTAAAGTGCACTGGAAGATGCAAATATATATTTTTATTCTGTCATCTTTGTTATATATTTTTTTTTGTTTATTTATTCTGTCGTCTTTGTTCCCCATTAGAGAGAAGTCAGTCCAAACTAAAACCTCTCAACCAGAAGATACAGCTTTCTCTGCAGCTGTCTTCAGTACTTTCTTCTTTCTCACAGTCCACAGTACCAAAGTGGAGATTGGCAGTCTGGCAAAAATTTTAATTTTTTGCCATGTGGTAGTTGTATGTTCATGTTCTCCACACCACCTCATTGTTACCAACTAAGAACTTTTCAAAAATATCTCTAGTATGTCACCTCCCTCCTCAGCCCTTCCAACTTTACTGAAGACTGAGACCTGACTGGAGGACCAAATTCTCCTCTGACTTCTGCCATAATGACAGTGTCTTTACAGACCACTCTCTGGCAACCTAATCTTGCAGTTCCTGGGCCTCTGACCCCAGTGAGCCTCTAACTCTATCTCAACCACTCACTCCCATAATCTCCTGCAATATCTTTTCATCTCCTGGAATTGGTCCAGTTGAGATCTTAACCATTAGACCAGTTTCTTCACAAGTTTGATGCCCTGGCAACACTGGTCTGCTTATAGTTTGCTATTTATAACTGTACCTTTTGTCACTTTTTTCCCCCCTATCTAAAGTACTCTTTTCCCTTCTTGTTAATTTCTTACTCATTCTCTAGGACATTTTTACTCAACCTTTATTTTATAATCTATGTACCTTCTCAATGAACATTCCTTCTCTCCTTTCAAAGTCTCTGCTTAACAAGTAGCTGGGGTTTTTCTGTGATCTCCTTGACCATTTTCAGAATGATTTTAGTTGATCCTTCAGTGTTCCCATAATGCCCTTATTTGTATCTTTATCATTGCATTCTTCCAGTGTTTCATGTGACTTTCTTTTCCCCTGAACTATAATTTCCTTGAGGTGGCAGGTACAGTTCTTATACATCTTGTTTTCCTGCTGCCTTTCTTAATGTTTGCATTAAGTGTAGTGATTTTAAAAAAATGTTAAAAGAAATTGAATTCTGAGGCGCCTGGGTGGCTCAGTCAGTTAAGGATCTGACTCCTGATTTTGGCTCAGGTCATGATCTCAGAGTCATGAGATTGAGCCCCGCATCTGGCTTCGTGCTGGGTGTAGAACCTGCTTAAGATTCTCTCTCTCCCCTCCCATTTCTCCCCTTCCTTCTCCTAAAAAAAAAAAAAAAAAAAAAAGACTTCCTTAGTTCTTAATTTTGGCACAAATAATAAATTTAGTAAAAGTACAGGAGTATATAACTTGAAGGACTTGGACAAAATAATCCATATCTTCCTCCAATAATAGTGTGTCTGAATGATTAATGATTTAAAGTCTGGTGTTAGTCTCATATTCTGGGATGCGATGTTTTAGTATGGAATGATTTTAAAGGAGAAGGTTAAATAATACTGTTGTAATCTGCGTTTAACCTGGGATTAATGAACAGCAAGGATTTAGCAAAATAATTTAGAATCATAAACTCTTTCAGCATAGTCTAAACATTTAAGCACAAAAGCTACCCCTTTGATGTAATTAATTTTATTAATATTTTTTTTTGCATGGCACCAATCAATATGAGCGTATTTTGGGAAACTAATCTTTCATTTGAAATTTAAAGAGATTAAATAGCCCGTTGAACAAATATTGGTTCAACTGTAGGCTTTTGCTGATACTGGACTATTGTTGACCTACAGGAGACCCTTTGATGTGATTCAGTCTAATACCACATGGTTGCTCTGTGGCCACTACAGGCTGAGTGTCCTAACTCCTTGTCAGCTCATTTTGAAATTTTAACCTTTGGGGGGTTAAAACATCAGCCATCAGTGCACATTTAGAGAGTGTTTGTTTTGGATATAGCTGAATATTGGTTGTAAAGATTTTAAAAAGAAAAAGTATACTTCTCAATATAAAGTGGAGAAAGAGATTAGTCTCCCAATATATGGCAGTATGTTTTCTGGAAAAAGAAAATAGGGGGTGGGGCATGCCTTTGGTGTTAAGTCTGTGTGGGAAATTATGGTTTAAAAAGTTAGTGACTTTAAATCAATATTAACATTTTACTGTACTGGTTTTGGATTTTCTTTTTATTAAGTGTGATTATTTTAACTTCCCTCATTATGTATGTATTCTTTGTATTTGAGTTCAACCATTAGAAACAAATTGAAGTTAAATCACTAAGTTAGTTTTTGCCATATATCTTTGCAATTAAACGTCTGAAGCTGTTCTGAAAATATTTCAGTGACTAACTTCATGTGCTACATTGAGATGTATTTTATCATTATTTTGTTAATGACTAAATGCTTGATAAATGATGAAATTTTAAAATGTGTTTGATAAATTTATAGGATGGAAGATGCTGATAATTCCGAAAAGAGTGTAAATGAAGAAAATGGAGAAGTATCAGAAGACCAGTCTCAAAATAAGCACAGTCGTCACAAAAAAAAGAAGCATAAACACAGAAGTAAACATAAGAAACATAAACATTCCTCAGAAGAAGACAAGGATAAAAAACATAAACATAAGCATAAACATAAGAAACACAAAAGAAAAGAGGTTATTGATGCTTCTGACAAAGAAGGTATGTCTCCAGCAAAAAGAACTAAACTTGATGATTTAGCTTTGCTGGAAGACTTGGAAAAACAGAGAGCCTTGATTAAAGCTGAACTTGATAATGAGTTAATGGAAGGAAAGGTCCAATCTGGGATGGGGCTCATATTGCAAGGCTATGAGTCTGGCTCTGAAGAAGAGGGGGAGATTCATGAAAAAGCAAGAAATGGAAATAGGTCTAGTACCAGATCATCAAGTACAAAGGGGAAACTTGAACTAATGGACAATAAAAATAGTACAAAAAAGCGAAGTAAAAGCAGATCCAAAGAACGGACTAGACATAGGAGTGATAAAAAGAAAAGTAAGGGAGGTGTTGAAATAGTTAAAGAGAAGACAACTAGGAGCAAGTCAAAGGAGAGGAAAAAGTCCAAAAGTCCATCCAAGAGAAGTAAGTCTCAAGATCAAGCAAGGAAATCAAAATCTCCTACCCTTAGAAGGCGATCTCAAGAGAAAATTGGGAAGGCCAGATCTCCTGCTGATGACAAGGTTAAAATTGAAGATAAAAGTAGGTCAAAAGATAGAAAAAAATCCCCAATTATAAATGAAAGTAGAAGTCGTGATCGAGGCAAAAAATCCAGATCCCCAGTTGACTTAAGAGGTAAATCCAAAGACAGAAGATCACGGTCCAAAGAGAGAAAATCAAAACGGTCTGACACGGATAAAGAAAAGAAGCCAATTAAATCTCCCTCTAAAGATGCTTCTTCTGGGAAAGAAAATCGGTCACCCAGTAGAAGACCTGGTCGAAGTCCTAAAAGAAGAAGTTTGTCTCCAAAACAGCGGGATAAATCAAGGAGGAGTAGATCTCCACTTGTAAATGACAGAAGGTCTAAACAAAGCAAATCACCTTCCCGAACTCTGTCTCCTGGTAGAAGAGCCAAGAGCCGATCCTTGGAAAGAAAACGAAGAGAACCAGAAAGGAGACGACTTTCTTCTCCAAGGTAACTTGTTTTCAAAATGTTAATGCTTTTTACCAATGCACCGGATTTTAAAAAGGAGAAACTAGAGCTTGTACACAATAAAAAATGAGGTAGCGTAATCAGTCTTACAGTTTTAAATAGATCCTGTCCACTAACTAAATTAATATTTGTACTTTTTTCAGTGAGTATCTTGACTAAAAGATTTACAAATACTGAACTTGGTTGACAGAATCAGTTTTTTTCCCCCAGGTTCTTAATTTAGTATCAAATTTGCAGAATCACTGTTTTAAATCCAAGTAATTTGGCTGATAAAAAAATCTATATAGGTATACCCATTTGTATATTCCCATTTATGGGAAGTGAGGGGAATTTCTAGAGCAAGGATTTTTCATTGAACAGTATAGACTGAAATTTTTAACTTTAAAAAAGGAGGTGTCAATTTAAGGATTGTGATGTATCCATTCTTTTGAATTGGCATGATTTTGAATTCCAACAATGTAAATTGGAACTACCAAATTTTTTTTTGCCCCCAAAACAAAATTAAATTGAAAGTGGACATTTTTTTTGTTACTAATTCATATACCTGTAATCGCATTGTTTAAAAAAATAGTTATGTCTTAAGTTTAGGAAGAAGAATAGTGTAAGAAATGATTTTATTTTTTTACCAATAATAATGAAAATGATTCATATTTGTATAATGCTTTTAGCCCATTGGTTTTTTCCTCAAATTCTCCTGATTATCTCTCCTCATAAAGTAGAGTGACTCTCATATTCATTTTATAAATGAGAAAATTGAGAGATTATTCCATTTACCTAGCATCATAGAACTAATAGGTAATTAAGACACATGAAGGATTTTAGCAGAGTGGGTGGGGATTGTTTAGACTAGTCTAAACTACTTTAGAAACTTGATTTTTTTTTTAGTATCCTTATGTTGAATAATTGGACATGTGAAATTATCAGCCAGGTTTAGCTTAAAAGAAGGTTGGCTTATACTATGTAAAGATACGAATTCCTAGCCACGTATTGTGTCTGAGTATAAATACAAGTTGACCTTAAAGTTTAAATCGTTTTTTCTGAAAAATTTCAAGAATGCTGTTTTCACAAAGTGCTGTATCTTAGATACTCTTAATTCTTCTAAGTAGCATTGTAATTAAATGGCCCCCTTCTTCCTTTAGCTTTCTAAATTGAGACAGTTGTTAGTGTTGCTGATTATGTTCTCTAAAGTGTTTCTAAGTGATCTTTGTTTCTTTCAGTTTGTCTTCCCTTTGAAAAGGAAATTCAGAGCAGTTTATTAAGGACTAGAGTTGAATATTTGAAATAATTTTTTTTAATTACAGAAAAGATACTAATTAAAGAGAAATTCAGATAAGGCAAAAGCCTGTAGTTCTTACCTTTTCATCCTTCCACTACCAGTCATAAGAATATGTCCTAGTTCTTTTTTTATGCACATACAATTATATGAATATTCTTTCATACAGAAATGGAGTCTTACATATTAAAATGTGATTTGCTTTTTTCATGAAACATTTCTGTGACAGCAAAGATCTTTTTTTTTAGCTCTTTATATAGCAGCACCATATTTCACAGTATATATATACAAAGTTGAGCTTTGAACAACACAGGGGTTATGGGCACCAGTTGCTCACACAGTCAGAAATGGGCATATAACTTTGGAGTCCTCCAAAACTCAATTACTAATAGCCTACTGCTAACTGGAATCCTTACCAATAACTTACCACGTATTTTGTATGCTCTAGTATCATATATACTGTATTGTTGAAGTAAGTTAGAGGTAAGAAAATCCTAAGGAAGACTAAATACATTTACAGTACTGTACTGTAAAAACAGTCTGCATGTGAGTGAACCTGTGCCGTTCAAACCCATGTTCAAGGGTCACCTCTAATCATTCCCTTACTGAAACATGAAAATTTTGGTTGGTTCCAGTTTTCCAGGATTCTATGCAAAAATGTCCATTGTTTATGTGTGAAGTTTTTTGTAGAATAGATTCATAGAAGTGAAATTGCAAAGTCTAAGGTAACGTACATTTACATTTTATGAAGTATTGTTGAATGTCTTAACAGGAAAGTTATACCAATATGTATTTCCTTGACTAGATGGACTGTCCCTTTCTCTAAACCCTTACTTAGATTTTGTTTGTTCTAAGGTTAACAGTGATTGTAAGATGCTGTTGTATGTAATATATTAAGAATAAGACTATATTACAAAATGTCAAAATTTAGGAAGAAAACAGTCTTCAAACTGGAGGAAATGGAATACTGTTACTTAGACAAGTTTTATTTGAGTTGTTTATCTGGAATTAGAATCAGTGGTTTAACAACATGAATAACCTTTATAGTTTTTCAAATTGTGAGACCAGAGGGAATAGACCTTTTACTGTGTGCGTACCATAACCCCAAAATGTAATTGTGATTTTCTGAATTCAAGTTTTGTTGCAAAACATGTTAATCTGTGTGTTCTGTCTTCAGGTTAGTGTGCCCTTTCTTAAGATGTCTTTTATGTGCAAAACAAATTCATTAATGTATTTTTCTATTAACCTGTATTTGGTCCCCTTAAGAACACGACCTCGAGATGATATCCTCAGTAGACGTGAAAGATCAAAAGATGCCAGCCCAATCAATAGGTGGTCTCCAACCCGAAGAAGAGCAAGTAGATCTCCAATTAGAAGACGGTCTCGTTCCCCACTCAGACGTAGTAGGTCACCCAGGAGAAGAAGCAGGTCTCCTCGGAGGAGGTAGAGATATGTTACATATGTTGACCTTTTTCATTCATTAAACTCTGTATGCTTCTGAAGCTTCATATTAGCTCATTAGGTGGGTTTTCTTAAAGACCATTTTTCTCTGTGAAAAATTGAAGCTGCGATCCCATGTAGTTTCCTTTTTACCAATGTGATATTTCACACACACTGATTTTTCTTTATCTTTTTTTCAAATTTAAATTAGTGGTGCATTAAAAACTCAGTCTTTTGAAAGGGGAACACTTTTTTTTTCCTACTTCTTAAGAAAGAAATACTACATGAGCTATGTTTACTGGTTTGTTTTGTTTTGTTTTAAGCAGGATAGATTATAAGGTAATAAATAGCCCAGTTTCCACTCATTATGTAATTGCAGGTCTCTATTTTTCTATTAACTTTTATTTGGTCCCCTTAGAACATGACCTCAAGATGATAGCCTCAGTAGTTGTTAAAGACTCTCTTGGCAAAAACTCTTTAACTCACAGTAGTAGAAACCATTTTATGTAAAGCACATGTAGTGAATTGGTTAATCAAAATGTTGGTTTGTAAAGCAGGAATCATTTTAAAGTATATGCACTAAATATTTTTTTAAAGGTGTATCTATTTTACAGCATGCAAGTGGGGGCAAGGGCAGAGGGAAAGAATCTCAAGCAGACTCCCTGCTGAGCACAGAGCCAGCCTCAGGCTTCATCTCACAGCCCTGAAATCATGACCTAAGCTGAAACTAAGTCTGCCACTTAACCGACTGAGCCACTCACGCAGCCCTGTGTGTTAAACATTTTAACTCAAACATAAGTGGACTTTCATTTGCCAATTTTTTAACATTTTTAATTGAACTAATACATGAATGTAGTTTAAAAAGACAGCATACCAATGGCTTATATTCCAACCAGTGGATACATCTTTACATTATCTCTGAGTATTTTTGTATACTAGATTTCTTGAAGTAGAAGTGCTTTGTCTGAGGTTGTGTATGTTTAAATTTTTGAAGTTATTGCCATGTTATTTATTGATTTCTTACTTTGGACAATTTCTTTTCTTTTCCTTTCTTAAGTAGACTCCGTGCTCATAGTGGAGCCCAGTATGGGGTTTAAACTCAAAACCCTGAGATCAATACCTGAGCTGAAATCAAGAGTTGGACACTTAACAAACTGAGCCACACATGCACCCCAGCAATTACTTTTTTTAATTCCACCCATCACACTTTCTTTTCTACCTAATTGTATCACATTTCTCTATGTTTTTACAGTCATTATGCTCTTGTGCCTGTTGCTCATTGCTGAGCAAGTAGTCAGGGGAAGGGGGCAAGGAAAGACCTTCCTCCTAATGTTTCTAGCCTTCTGTTTCCAAACTGACTAATAGGCCTGCTTGTACAGTTATTGTAGAATTTGTTTTCCCTTTTCTGTCCTCTGGATATTCCCTTGTTTCTCTCTTATTTTGTTTTTCCCTTTCCTGTATCCAGCATTTTCAGGTTTTACTTCCTTGCTTTGTTAATGCATCTCCAACAACTTCCTATGAAAAGGACATTTTGGGGGACTTTTGTTTCTTAAAAGTCCCCCCTTTTTTATTTTCTTTCTTTTTCTTTTCTTGTCTTCTCTTTTTTCTTTCTTTTCTTTTCTTTTCTTTTCTTCTTCTTTTCTTTTCTTTTAGATTTTATTTATCCAACAGTGAGACACACAGTGAGAGAGGGAACACAAGCAGGGGGAGTGGGAGAGGGAGAAGCAGGCTTCCCGCGGAGCGGGGAGCCCGATGCGGGGCTCGATCCCAGGACCCTGGGATCATGACCTGAGCCGAAGGCAGACGCTTAACGACTGAGCCACCCAGGCCCCCCCCGCCACTTTTTTTAAATCCCCATTGCTGATTTGATTTGTCAAGGAGTAGAATTGCAAGTTGAAATAATTTTTTTCTTAAGAATTTTGAAATTGTTATTCCACAGATTTCTGGTTTCCAGTATTGCTATTGAGAAGTCCTGTTCTGATGCCTGGGCATTTCTAAGAGGACTTGCTTTGTCTCTCTCCCTCTGTTTTTATAATAAATGTCCTGCATTCTGGAATTCCACTATAATGTGCCTTGGTGCATGTCTCTTTCCATTGATTTTGCTGGGCACTAAATAGGCCCTTTAAAGCAGAAATATTATGACTGCCTATTCCTGGAAATTTTCTCTGTTTTGTTTTTGTTTTGGTTTGCCTTCTTGCCCATTGTTCCCCCCCCCACTGGACCTTCTGTATTGTTCCACTGATTTCCCCACACACACAGTCATCTTTGATGTTTGTCCTTTTGTTCTACTTTCAATCTAGGAGATTTTCCCATTCACCCTTCTTACCTTTCTATTGATTTTTTTCCCCCTGTGCTCATGTATATTTATTTTTATTTCTAAGACTTGTTGGCTGTTTAATTTTTATTATGACATTTTACTCATGTTTTATAGAAATAGCATCTCTTAGGTCAAAGATGATAATGAGTTTATTTTATGGAGTTTTTTCTTGATAGTTTTCTTACCTATACTTTTTCATTTTAAACTTTTCTTCCCAGATTCCTGTTGTTGTTCCTTACCTTTTTTCATTTGAGGACTTTACTCATAAACAGCTGGATCCTTCTTGTTGCCTATTCTCATTTAAAACTTAAGCCACTGTGAAAGCTGAATGGAAGCTTTCTTCCATTCTGAGAATGTAGAATTTGTGGCTTAGTGGGTATCACTTCAGTGTAACTAAATCTCTTTAGCATATCCATGACTGTAGCCCTCTTCTTTTGGGCTAGCAGTTTTCCAGAATCCTCTCGTCTGCTGGAGAATATTGTCATGTTTGCAAGGAGAGTTGTGGTTCTTCATAATGTAGACTTCCCCTTATTCCTTTAATGTTCAGTACTGTGCCTCCCTGCTACCTTGGGTCAGTTTTTATAACAAGCAACACCTCTCTATAAAATAAATTTTAAGTATTATGCCAGAATGTGAAGGGGGATTTTTGGCATTTTTCTACTGAGTCAGGAAGGGAACTATTCAGAGGCAAGCTGTTGCTAAGGCTTTCAACCAGTTCTTTTTAGCTTTTACCTTACACCACATCTAACAATATGGTGTCTCCAGTTTGTGAGGCTTTCTTGGGTTTTGTGGCATGCATTTACTTGTTTCTTATTTACCTTGTCTGTTCCTGTTGGACTAATATTTAAATTTGATTTATTACTATTCTATCCAATTTGCACATCAAGATTTTGTTGTCATAATTCTTCTCATTCTCTTTGCCTGAGGGTTTTCTTTTCAGTTGTTCCTTTCATGTTATTTTAGTAAGGTTTCTTGAGAAATGTGACATAAGCATGGTAGTCAGATGTGATAGTAACTGGGAGTTTGCCAATTCTCTGTAGACTTAGCAGCCTTTTGTTTGGAGTTCCATAGCATCTTTCCAACATAAACTTCACCTTTAATGCTTGAACTATAATATCAGTTTCTGTTACACATGAGGCAAGACCTTTTTGCACTTATAAAAATGTCTGAGGGGCATGTTAATTAGACTTGGAATTTTTGTCACATTTGTCTTTTTATACCTTATTAGCAGTGATCTCTTTTTAAACTCGGTTTTATTGAAACATATTCACATAAAATAGATTCACTCTTTTTGGTGTAAAGTTATAGGAGTTTTGACAAACACATAATCACCAAAATCAAGAACATTTCTATCGCCCCCAGAGTTCTTTTGTGCCCCTTTGCAGTCCAGTAAGAACAATAGCTGTATTTTAGTTATCTTCAATTAAGCTGATTAACCCAATCTTTCTGATCTGTTATTTTACTTTAAATTTTTAATTAACCCCTTTTTAAAAGATTCCATTTTTAGAACAGTTTTAGGTTCACAGCAAAATAGAGCTTTTGAAAAGTACAAAGAGTTCTTTATACTACTGCCCCCAACACACCCACAGCTTCTCTACCTTTAATTGACCTTTAAAATGTGTGTATGTATGATTCCCCCCCCCCCAATAGGGACAGAGGTCGGAGGAGCCGGTCACGCTTGAGAAGGCGGTCTAGATCACGGGGTGGTCGTAGACGGAGGAGCAGAAGCAAAATAAAGGAAGATAAATTTAAAGGAAGTCTTTCTGAAGGAATGAAAGTTGAACAAGAATCTTCATCTGATGATAAGTAAGAATGGAATTTCTCATAATTGCCTTTTTCCAATTTAGACAAGTACTGTTTGACCTGGAAATCTTTTAATTTCCACCTGGATATTGTAAGTGAATCTATTAATTAGATCCTGAATTTACAAGTTAATTTTTTCTGTATATTTTATAGGTTAAAATTATGTGGCAGAGGTCATGGTTTTCTGATTTTAGAGGTTCCAGTTTTGCCAGTTTTGACTGGAGTGAATATCATGAGCCTTCCCTTTTTCATTTTGTTAGAGATAACAGCCCTACCAATCTTGATTACCAGTTTTACAGTGGTTGGGGGTGGGGGGTATAGTGATTTTTAAACTTTTCAGTTCGTGTGAAATGATACATACTTTGCGGTTGAAGCTATCTGGTGTTAAGTATGCCTGTTACAGTGTGGAAAATACAGAAACATTTCACTGTCTAGTGGATAAAATTTTTTTAATGTGAATTTAGTTGTCTAGATAGAACATCTAAAAAAATAATTTAGAGCAGTGGTCCTCAGCTGGGGGTAATTTGCCTTTCTGAGGACATTTTGTCAATATCCAAAGGTATTTTTGGTTGTCATCTTGTGGCTAGAGACCAGAGATACTGTTCAACATCTGCTAATGCACAGGACAACACCCTCTTCCATAACAAAGAATTGTCAAAATATCAGTAGTGCTAAGGTCAAGAAAGCCCAATCAGAGCTAGGTGATATGCAAGTTAAGGGAAGGGTGTTAAACATAGATCCTGATATCTTGAGAATGCATTTTGCTTACTGGTGTGCAGTGAACATTCAGCAGATCATAAAAGAGGCTGTGCGGGGAGGGATTGTAAAGATTCAGAGTTCTTTGGGAGGAAATTGGGACCAGTTGGGCAGTGTCTGGGGATAGAGCCACATTCCTCGTCAGATTGTAGGCGAATATTTACATACGCATCTTTGATAGGGAAAAGATCCATAGCTTGCCAAGGATCTATAGCTTTCTGTGACCCAGAGAAGGTACTAGTTTTCTTACGTGTCTCACTCTTACTCTGTTAGGGGTTAAAACTGAGGCTGGCTAGGTGAAATGACTTTAGTAATAGCAAGGTCATGGTAGAGCCAGGGGTTACTTTTTTGAACTTAAGGATCTTTTGTTCCTAATTTGGTGCCATGAAACAAGTCAGGAGAAAAATGAGATACAGAGGGTTAAATTACTTGCCAGGATTCCAAACCAGGCAACTGAGAGAGTTTAGAAACAGGATAAAGAGAATAAGGTGGCTTAAGACTTTTGCTGGAACTTGCGGATAACCTGTGTTTTCTAGCTTTTATTTTTAAACTGTGTAATAGTTATGGTTTGTGACTGTCTAAGGATGTTTGAAATTGTGTGCATATATGTGCATTTTTTTTTTTAAAGCCTTGAAGATTTTGATGTAGAGGAAGAAGATGAAGAAGCCCTAATAGAACAGAGAAGAATACAGAGGCAGGCGATTGTTCAGGTATGTGATATTAGTAAAGTTTTGAGCAATCCTTTTTAAATAATTACTCTCTTAGTAAAAGGGTTTTTACTTTAATAAAGAATTGATGGTGGTAGCAATTAAGTCTTAAGGAAATGTATATGTGAAATTATCTTTATGAGATTTGAAAAGATAATTTCTTATGTTGAAATGGTTGCCCTTTTTTGTTATATATAGGATTTGGATATAAACTATAAGGCAGAATTTGAAGTGTTTTTTGTTTTTGTTTGTTTTTGGTTTTTGGAATTTCATTTAGCAAAAAATTATGTAATTATACCTGTTTCTATATCGGGGGGAAAACCATTTTAATGTCTAAAAAAATAGATTTTCTTGTGTAACTGTGATTGCTTAAATGGGACATCTCAAAAATAATTTTAAAAGTAGTTTAGAGGTAGGTGATTAAGAAAATGGGGTGGGGAGAAGGTGTTGTATATAAGTCTTTGCGTAGTCATTTAAGATTACCTTCCTTGAAAGATTGTCCGTTATGCCTTGGGCATCCTGAGATAGAGCCATGGCCACTAGATCCTTTGTGGATGGCAGTGCCTGTAAAGTGTAATGCTTTCTCTTGATCATGGGAAGGTGAGTGATGGAGTAAAGAACACATTCTGGAAGAAGTGAAAAATGTTTAGGTACTATAAGGAAGATATCAGGCAAAAGGAAAGAATAGTTGTGCCTGCCAGCTTACCTACACATACATAGCAAATCATAAATCTAGCACTGGAGGTCAGAGCAAAGGAAAGAACTTGAATCACCAGAGGATGTAGGGCAAAACTGGAATTCCAGAGAAACTTGCTTTTCTGGGACACTGATGAAATTGTTGTTATTAAACTGATATCCCTAGAGACTTGGTTGAATCTTTTTTTGTTCTTGCCCAGGTCCACAATCCCTTATCTCCAGCCCCTGGGGCCAGATGTGCTTCAGAACTCAGAACTATTTGAATTTTAGAAAGGTAATATGGTGCATCTGTGTATATTATTTAGCCCCATCAGTGGGGTCTAGAACAGCACCCCACTATCAAACACATTAGTATTTCTGCAATGAGACATATTATGTTCACACTGGGGGATATAAAAAAAAGACTACAAATAGTATCACATCTGTTCAGGTGAGGTTTTGTCACCTAATGAATGTGCACCAAACATAGAAAAACTTTTTCAGAGTTTTGTGGATTTTGGAAATATATGTAAGGGATTGTGGATCTGATTCAATCAAGACATCAATACCTTTTTAAAGTTTTTAACATTGACAGTCTTTTCAGTGTGATACCTCTTAGCAGATATGCATCAGATTTTATGAAAATAGTATGTTGTATTATTGTTACAGAAATACAAATATCTTGCTGAAGATAGCAATATGTCTGTGCCATCTGAACCAAGCAGCCCTCAGAGCAGTACCTGTACACGGTCACCTTCTCCGGATGACATTCTGGAAAGGGTAGCTGCTGATGTGAAAGAGTATGAACGGGAAAACGTTGATACATTTGAGGCTTCAGTAAAAGCCAAGCATAATCTAATGACTGTTGAACAGAATAATGGTAAGTTAGATTTTTGTTTTGACATGCTTTTCTCTGAATTTTTAGCTCTGTAAATAATGAAAAAGATTGTTTTGAGATGGGTAAAAGTGAAAGGGATTAGAAATGTTGCCCCTCCTGAATCTTAGGGTAATACAATATTAAATGTGTCCCAGTGAATGTCCTTTATAAATGTTTTGATTAGTTCACGTAACCTAAACAGTATTATACTGAATCTCATGTATTCATTACCTTCTGTTTGGGGCACCTGGCTGGTTCAGTGAGTAGAGCATGTGACTCTTGATCTCGGATTTGTGAGTTCAAGCCCAGTGTTGGGCATAGAGCTTACTTAAAAATAAAATGTTGTCATTACCTTCTATTTTGCTTGCTAGAGTAATTTAAAGCAAATCCCAGCCATGATTTCATTTCATAAATGAAATTGTGTATCTCTTCTAGGTAAGGACTTTAAAAAAAACATTACTTGGGTACCTGGGTGGCTCAGTCAGTTAACTGTTCAACTCATGATTTCGGCTCAGGTCATGATCTTGGTCCTGGGATTGAGTCCCATTTTGGGCTCCATGCTGAGCAGGGAGTCTGCTTGAAGCTTCTCTCTCTTCTTCCCCCTCTCCCCCTTCTCACACTTTCTAAGTAAACAAAATCTTTTAAAAATAAAAAACATTATACCTAAAGAATTGATCATTTTTAAATCTTTCTAATTACAGTTGGTTGGTTTGAATCAAAATCCAAATAAGATGCACATCTCAATCTCCAAGTCTTTAGTACTCACTCTCATCCTTCCCTCCCCCCTTTCCATTTTCTTGTGAGGATGCTGAGGCCATGTGTCCTATAAACTTTTCTTTCCGTTGTGATATTGCCACATTCTTGTTTCATTTATCTTTATTTCTTCTATCCTCCATGTTTCTTATAAACTAGTATAAGTGTTAGAGACCTGAGTAGATTTACGTTAATTTTTTTTTGGCAAGAATACTGCCTAAGTGGTGGTGTGTACTTGCATCGCATCGAGTGGCATGTGGTGTGTGCTTGTCCTGTTTTTATTGATCTTGAGATTGTGTGTTTAGATAAGATGATCACATCTGTCCAACATGAAGTTGCCCTTCAGCTGTTCACCTGGCAGTTTCAGCAGCCATTGGTCATCATTCCTTAGATCCACTATTTCATGAGGGGTGGGGGCAGGTGGGCACACTCCAAAGCTGTGATTCTCAAATTTCCATAATTCCTTTTGAATTATTAGCTGTAATTCCATCAGAGAAGAGGTTTCCATTCTTTCGTTAACTAAGAAATATAGTTAGTACAGGAGTGTCAGGTTAAATGCTTGGTTATTTTCTTTTATTGACTGATACTTAGGGTAGAACAGATCTGGTACATTAACAACCTCCAGAGATGACCAGTGAGGTTTGGGTTGTTTTTGTCAGGTTTTTATTATTTGGTATCATTATGTACTAAAATTCTCTCCAACTGAGGTAGGGGGGAGGAAGGGAGCATTTTTAAGTTGGTTTCCAGTGTCTTTTTGATCCAAACCCTACAGGATTTATTGGTATTAATATATTATGTTTCTTTCTAGGACGGGTTGGCAACTGTTTGTTTAAGGTCAGATAGTTAATATCTTAGACTTTTGTAATTTATGCGTTTTTTTCTCTGTTCCAACCACTGAACTGTGCTGTTGTAATGCCAAAGCAGCTATGTTTGGAAAAAAACTATGTGGACACCAAAACTTAAATTTCATATAATTCTCACATGTCACAAAATATTCTTATGTTTTTCCCTAAAACCTTTAAAAATGTAAAAATGGGCCACATAAAAACAAGCAGGGGACCAAATTTGCCCCACTCTGTAGTTTACAAACTCCTGTTCTACCACATTGTAAGATATCACAGGCTCACCTTGTACATATCTTGTCCCAGAACCGAAGCAGCTATTGCTCCAAGGAACCCTGGTTCCATTTAATAGGAAATGCCATTTAGACTTCACAAAGCACTTAGGAGTGCCCATTATTCATGGGTTTTTAATGGACCAAGCTAGGACGTGCATTTCTGCATTTTTGGAAAGGGGAGGTTCATACTGAAAAATTGCCATTCAAACTTGAGATTACAGGGTTTTTATTAACATCTTTGATTTTCGACTTGTTTCTTTTATAGTGAAAAACCTGATTCCTGATAACATGATTATTTATGTTATTTTGAAGCTTTTATTTACATAGTTATCAGTATGATCACCAATATTGAATGTAGTGAATGCAAATTGAAAATTTAATGATTCTTTTTATCCTTGGGATACATTCCAAGGTGTAAAGTCATTTGAAATACTTTGGTACGGTTATACCACCCATTTGATAGATTTGGGTTTATTTTAATTGCTTTTGATTTTCAGGAATTTTTGGTTTGATTATTAAAATGTCTTTCACATGTGTATTTGTATTTTTGCCTACACAAGCACACACAAAAATATACACACTCATCAGTATGAAAAGATCTTCATTCCTTTTTACAGCTATGTGCTATTCCAGCGTAATAAATGTGCCAAGGCTTATTCACTATGTCTTCTAATGGTGGATGTTTGGGTTGTATCCAGTTGTTGATTATTCATTGGAGTATTAATTATAATGTCATTGCGCATTAAGTCATTTTTTAATGCTAAAACTGTATCTTTGAAATAATTTCCTAGAAGTGGGGTTGCTGGGTTAAAAGAGTATAATGTGCTGTGTTTCCATATTTCACTCTGTAAGGCTTGCACAGTTTTGTCTCCTGCAAGTAATGTTTGAGTACTTGCTTATCAGGGCCTTGTTACTGGGATGTTGTCATACTTTCAGGTTTATTAGCCTATCTCAAAAGAGAAAGGGTATTTCTTTATAATTTTAATTTGCATTTCCCTTACTATAAGTGAGATTGGGTGTGTGTTCATATGCTTCAAGCCCTTGCATTCTTTTTTTCTTTCTTTTTTTAAGGAACTCCTTTTATTTTGCCCAGTTTTTCTAGGGGATTATTGGACTTTTTAGGGGAGAGATACATAGAGATCTAGATCTATAGTGGGGTATTAACCTTTTGAGATTTTAAGTTGCAATTTGGAAATGGAATTTTTTAAAGAGGAACTTTGATTTTAATACATAATCATTATTTAGCTATTAGCATATTAATTTAACAGTGGAGAAAATACTGACATTAGGTCTTTCAACTTTCTAAAATGCATCCTTTTAGTAAAAAATGGGTAGCTTTCTAGATCTTAAGTGTTACAAAGTGACTTTAAGTTGGGTATTAGTGAAAAACTGATGTGCAATTCAGTTTGAATTGCTAGTGATATTACATTGATGACTTATTTGTGTTTTAATATGTATCCCTTCATTTTTCAAATATTACTGTTAATTTCCATTAAGGTTCATCTCAGAAAAAGCTCTTGGCACCTGATATGTTTACCGAATCTGATGATATGTTTGCTGCCTACTTTGATGTAAGTAATTTTAAGTCATAAAACATAACTATTAAACAAAATATATATAGGGATGCCTGGGTGGCTCAGTCGGTTAACCGGCTGCCTTTGGCTCAGGTCGTGATCCTAGGGTCCTGGGATCGAGCCCCACATGGGGCTCATTGCTCAGTGGGGAGCCTGCTTCTCCCCTGCTTGTGCTTGCTCTCCCCCTCCCCCTGGTGTGTGTCAAATAAAATCTTTATTAAAAAACTATATATATATAATAAGTATGTGTGTTGTATACAGAGAGAGAAAAGGATAAAGCAAATTAATAAATGTTAATACTTGGACAGTCTGAATGAAGGGTATCTGGAGACTCTTTGTACTAGTGCTGCAACATTTCTCTAAGTCTAAAAGTAGGTTAAGATTTTAAAAAGTGGCAGAACAGTTTGAGAGCTTCCGAAAAGTTAAATACCAAATGACTTAAACCTGTAGTTATTTTTTTGAAACAACTGTTTTTTGGATTTACAAACCAGGGCAGGGGGGCGGGGGTACATAGTTAGCTGAGACAAGATGATGTCAGTAATTTCCAGGCCTGTATTAAAACAGAGTCCACTTTGGGCTTCTATATTGTGGGTGAATGAGAACTTAGGATTTGGATCCTAATACATTCACTGAAGAGTTGGGAATGTTATTACAAGGAATGGGTTAAGAAATTTTGTTTTTTTAGCTATTAATGACTTTTCTTGAAAAAGTCTTAACATATTTAAAAGTATGAGATCATTTTCATTATATATTCAAGAGAACATGAGAAATAAGGAGGCTTTGGCAAGGGAAAGTGGAGGGCTAAACATAAAATAGAGAAATTAAAAATAGAGTAAGATTAAACAGTCAGTGTCCAGGACCCTGAAGACATTGGTCATTGGCTTAAGTAACGTATCTATATTTTGCAATGGGAACACCAAAACAAAGCTAGGTTAAGAGAGGATGAAATGATTAAGCTGGTGAAAGTATCCCCACCCATCATTTATTTGGACGATAGTGAAGGGTCTTCCGGGTATCATGGAAAGTGATGTGTCATAGTCTTCAGAAGTTCCACATACTCTTAATTTCTCACACCAACTGTTAGTGCAGCATATATGGGAAGAGAAATCAAGGGGTGTTTCGTGGACAAAGCAGTAAAAGAAATGTGAAAATTGGTAGGAGAGAGAGTTGAACACTGTTAACTGAGTGCCCATCTATAATTTTTGTTCTCTATTAATAACTATAAAAAAACCAGATCTGGTTTTGAGTTCTTATTTTCATTTATAATCCCCTAGTCATATTCCTAAGAGTTTTTGAAGATAACTTAATTTTTTTCCTGAGCATTATTGTGATGTGAGACTTTGGTAATCAGTCATGTTTCCAGCTGTATTGCATTTACGTAGGTGACGGTAGGAGTTGACTTAATTTGGCTAAAATGTTTTTATTAAATTATAGCTGGTTTTCCCCATTTTGGTTTTAAAGGAAGTGCTTTAAGTATCTGCCTGATGAGTAGTAGCCGTTAGATAAATGGCTCTCTTGTTGCCTCCTCCATTTCAGAGTGCTCGTCTTCGGGCTGCTGGCATTGGAAAAGATTTCAAAGAGAATCCCAACCTCAGGGATAACTGGACAGATGCAGAAGGCTATTATCGTAAGTTCACAGTTCTGATTAATTTTAGGGTTCGTTACAACATTTTGTAGAAGTATGTTGCTTGATGAAGTCACATGTTGGAGAACTCTGAAAGTCACGTCACAGTGTCATCACTTAAAATGTGTGGCACATCTAATAGCTGCGTGAACCCATGTTGTATTCTAGTAAGCAGCTCAGGAGCTTCATGAATAGAAGTGAGGTGAAGACTTGATGTGCAACTTAAATCTATTCAAAGTTGTTTTCAGCCATGAGATAATCCTCCAGGAGGAAGGGGGAACGTCACTTGCTCGTCTTGATCTGAAACCAAGAAAAACGACATACAGGAACTTGGGATGCCAGTCATGCAGTATTTGTCATGCAGGACTACAGTTGGAAACATTTCAGTGAGCACATTTCTTCCTACTCAATGTTAAAATCCTTAGCAGTTGATAGGAAGTGGGCATGCAGCTTGAACCACATTATGAAAGAGTGACCGATGGAGGCTCGTCTTTGATTCTCCATGGTGTCTAGGAAACCAGGCACACAGAGATTTGACACATTTTTTTTTTAAGTGACTGTGCTGTGTTTCTGTTTGCTTTATTACATATATCTCATAGTTTTGTTAAGTAAGTATTTACTATGGTCAAAATTCCCGTTTCTTAATTTACTTTTTCAGGTGTGAACATAGGTGAAGTCCTAGATAAGCGTTACAATGTGTATGGCTACACTGGCCAGGGTGTCTTCAGTAATGTTGTACGAGCCAGAGATAATGCAAGAGCCAACCAAGAAGTGGCTGTAAAAATCATCAGAAACAATGAGCTCATGTAAGTTCAGAAGACCTGTGTAATGAAACCTAAAAACACAGGTATTCACAACTGAACATTTTTAAAAAGTAACACAATCTGTAAAAGTATTGAAGTTATAAAATAACAGAAGTCTGGTAGTGAATCTGCTGCCTTTTTTTCTTTTATATAATAGAGCTAATTGCCATACCCATAGGTTTTAATAAGCACAATCTATACCACACACTGAGCTGATGTTAAAGTCAACTTTCCATCGGCTTTAAAACACTGGGAATAACTTACAGATGTATATTAACATCTTCAGCTGCCCTAGGCTTAGTATTTTAAAGCCATTTTAAAAATATGGCCTATTGACAAATTATAACTAGAATTTTAGAGGAAAACCAAATGTTAATATTTGGTAAGACATCCATTCTTAGTTTCTTATATAGTGTGGTTCCATTTTTGTTAAAATAGCATTTACATCAAGACATTTTTTTAAATAAAAATATGCAAGATTGGGGGCACCTGCATAGCTCAGTCACTTGAGCGTCCAACTCTTGATTTCAGCTCAGGTCATGATCTCAGTGTTGTGAGATTGAGCCCCACATCTGGCTCTGAGCTGGGCGTGGAACCTGCTTAGGATTCTCCCTCTCCCTCCACCCACACCCCCCCACCCCTCAGAGAAAAAAAGAAAATGTGGAAGATTGAATTCTCTTCAGGCAAGGTGGGTTTGTTCCTCCAGTGTTTTTTTCTGTTAATTATTGTGGAAATAAGCTCCATGGAAACCATATTTGACTAAGTATAAAGTATCGTGTGAGTAACATACAGACTTGTTATTCCTCAACAGATTTACTATTAGTACTTAAAAATCCAAACTACTTATCACCTATGGTAAATCAGACTGGAACTAGTAAATATTTAGTTTTCTTAAATTCTGTATTCAGTTTTGAACTAATTTTCTTTTCAGGCAAAAAACTGGCTTAAAAGAACTAGAATTCCTGAAAAAACTTAATGATGCTGATCCTGATGACAAATTTCATTGTTTGCGACTCTTCAGACACTTTTATCACAAACAGCATCTCTGTCTCGTATTTGAGCCTCTAAGGTACACTGTCAAACCTGTACATTACTAAAAATTTAGATAAACACCATGACAGATCTCTGTATGTTTATTTTTTCCAGTTAGCTCTGGTTTTGTTTTTTTACTTTTGGTTAGGAACTAGGTTCATGACAGTCATTAATGTAAAGACCATAATTGACCACATACTATGTGTCAGACACTAACCTTATGTAGCCTTCAGCTCAACAGAGATTCTCTGAAAGTTAAATACTTCCAAGGAAGGATCACAATGTAATAAAAAGAAATGGGAGTAGTGAAGTAGAAATACAGTTTTGATCTTCAAAAGTATGGCTTCAGTTTTGGCCTTTCAAATGTAAACCCATTCTAAAATCAATAGGAATTTTACCATTGAATGTCTTCCCTTCCGTTTATTTTGAAAATTTTTATTGGAAAACTGTCTCATTTATACACAGGTTCATGTGCTCTCATTTTAGTGTAGAATAATTTATTAAACATCTGGGAGGGCTCATGAACAGATACTTTCATTTTAGTTAATGTTTTGGATTTGATTTTACTTTATGCTTGAACATGGTTTTGCCTTTTTTATTTCCATTTTGCATTTTAAGCCCTAATTTTGTGGGTTTTTTTTTCTCTCCTAAAAGTATGAATTTACGAGAGGTGTTAAAAAAATATGGTAAGGATGTTGGTCTTCATATTAAAGCTGTAAGATCCTACAGTCAGCAGTTGTTCTTGGCATTAAAACTCCTTAAAAGATGCAATATCCTACATGCAGATATCAAGCCAGACAATATCCTGGTAAGTCAAACAATCAGGTTACCTTGTATATCCATATAGGTTCTTACCAGTAATGTGATAACCACTGTATTATTTTAGAAATGATGTCTTAAAAGAATAACTCAGCATATTAATTACTTATGACAAAGGACTTAACCAGTGTTTACTTTTTTGGAAATTGGTCCATGAAATTTTATACTAAAGTATAAAGAAACAGGGAATAGGCTATTGTCTCAATTTTTTCCTTTATATTGATGGATTTAGAGTACACACAAATCCCAAAAGTGCCTTAATGTAGTAATGATGGGCTTCCTCTGGTATCTAAACACAAAAATGCACATGTTGCTGTTTTGAAATGGTGTTCACAGCTCTTTGTTCTCTAATTTGTGGTCTGACAGGCTTAGAGACATTTAAAGAATTATCTCTTAAATAGATGTATGGAGTAGTGTTTTATAGGTGCCCAGGAGGGGCCCAAAGACAGCAGAGCTCGGTTGTGATTAGATGTTACGTTGAAAGGCATTCCTTTTACATTCTTCACCCCTTAACTAAAGACTTCTGGGTTGGTAATATGCAGCTTTCACAGGGTTTATGTTTTTTAAATTTAGAAGTAATACATTATCATAGGGGAGCGATGAATGCACACATACCGCTTCCTACCCTGGCCCCATTTCTTCACCCCTGTTCTGAGGTATTCAGAGTTCGGGGTGTGTTCACAGCTTGGAGAATTCCTACCTTGTTTGCTAATAACATTCTACACTTTTTTTTTTTTTTTTAAGATATTTATTTAAGACAGCACAAGCAGTGGGGAGGGACAGCGGGAGAGGGAGAAGCAGGCTCCCCGCTGAGCAGGGAGCCCAAGGCGGGGCTCGATCCCAGGACCCTGGGATCATGACCTGAGCCAAAGGCAGATGCTTAACTGACTTGGGCCACCCAGGTACCCCGTATTCTACACTTTCAGAAGATTATGATCCCATTAAAGTTTGTTAAGGACTCCTCATCAATAGCTTAGCTCTTAGTTCAGATTTTTCTTCTTTTTTAATATCTTAAAATACATCCTTCCAGACTACCATGTTAATAATGAGGCATTCCATCTTAATAGGTTTTGTTTGACTTTACAGTGTGTTATACATCTAATATAACCTGGGGTTAGAGGAGCTAAGTAATTACAGCGAAATAAATGAATTGTAGACTTCATGTTAGGATTGAATTGTAGACTTTTCAACTTCATAGTTAATTTTTACCTCAGTTTTGTTTCTCTATTTTAAATTGTGAAGTATACCATCTGTATCAGAATGTATAAAATACGTAAAATTTAAAGGTAACTATGCAGTGAACATCTGTGTAACCGCCGTAGAAGTTAAAGAGTAAGACATTTGCCAGTATCTTAGGAGCTCTTATTTTTAAAACTTTATTTTCCTTGAGTTACTGCTACTCTAGTATAAGTTTACACATGGACTTCAGACATTGAATGTTGTCTCCTTCCTGAGAAAGGAGGAAGTAGACATCAGAAACTAGAGGGAGCTGTTTGTGAATGAAAATCCAAAGCTTTCAGCCCAGGATTTCAACCATCAGTGGTAGGAGTACCATGTTCCTCAGGGAGGATAAATGTTGTCTAGGAGGAGTGCGTATGAGTGTGGATACCCTGCGGGTTGTTGAAGGCATTTTAGCCAGCCCAAGAGTCCTACTGACAGGTTTTAATTTTAAAATTGTCCTGGGATTTCTCTGGGTTTTAAACTGCATCCTTAAGTAGCTGAATGCAGTTTAGAGTTTAAAAAGTTTCAGAAGTACTTGTGCTTTTGAAGATACTGATGTTCTTGATTCCCCAGGTGAAGAGAATGGTTATGAATATGGCAGTGAAAAATAATCATTTCTATTAATAGCTTAATTCTGTGGATATCGTCTGTAATGGGCCAATCCGTAACTCTGACCAAGCTTTATGATATCCCAGTAGAAAGTGGCCAGGACTTACTTATTTAAAGTGTTAAGTTTCTTTGGGGTGGGAACTGTAGGCCAAGTTCAAGTCCCAACTCGGAATTTGTGTGTGTCTCTTTTGAAGGGGGGAAGGGACTCTGGAATATGAATTACCTTCACTTGTTAATCCTGAACATGCTTCTGACTCATGAGTGGCAGCAGCCATGGGAGCAACTCCAGCCTTTCTCAGCAGATGTCACTGTTACTGTGTATGTTGAAGTATTTACAAAGGAAAAAAAGAAACAAATAACTAATATAGAGTTCATATTTATCAGTTGTGGCAAATATATTTAACATTTTCTTGACTAATACCTTCTTTATATTTAAGGGATTTAATATTTTTAGACTTGAAGTGATTGCTAAATTTGGGATGGTCTAGCAGCTTCGGATGAAGAATGTTTTTATTCTGTTTTTGTCCAGATTTAATCTGAATCATCCTCTGCTTTCATTGCTATCGTAATTTTCTGGCAACTGAAAGTTACCTTCAATCAATTGAAAGTTGATCTAAGTCTGTCCCTTATTAATAAATTGTCTTCATGTTCCTTTAAATAGTAACTTGACTTTATTCAGGTATTCTGGGGATTTTTAGAAGATGCTTTACTTCAATGAGATTTTTCTCTTACTACCCCTCCCTTTTCAAAGTAGCATTGGTTAAAATTAAATGTACTTGGTATTACCCCATATTTCCTCACTGAAAAAAGTTACTTTACTAATTATAATCAAATATTTGATAGCTCTTAATTTTTTATAATTAGGGAATTGAGTTATAATTAGAAGAGGAATTATAAACGGGTAACTTTGTTTTCAGTATTGGAAGTAACTTCTCAAAGCCAATTATTTTTATCTGATTACTTGTCTTAATTATTTCTGGCATGAATTAAACTTCCATGATAAAATGTTTTGCAGGTTAATGAATCAAAAACTATTTTAAAGCTCTGCGATTTTGGGTCGGCTTCACATGTTGCGGATAATGACATAACACCTTATCTTGTCAGTAGATTTTATCGTGCTCCTGAAATCAGTAAGTTTCTTCAAATGTTCTTTGACCTGGGCCATCATATGCAGTGGAAACAGCATATTTAATGTCTAAGTACTGTTTTCCATCGCACTTCAGCAGCTGCACGAGGTCATTGATGAGGAAGGGAACCGTAGCAAGTTCATCCTCCTCAGGTGGAATGGTGGTAGTTGTGACAGGAGTCTTGATCATGTCTGACAAGAGTAGCAAAACAATTGTGGAAAATCCTCGGCTTTAGAAGACTGCTCTTGATTACTCAAGGTCTGATTATCAAATTTATGGATTGTATGGGACCTTTGTTTTTGCTCTTCCTGTTGCCTTGGTTGAGGCTGGTTAGCACCTCCACCAAAGGTGAAATGAGAAAAGAAGTACACATTTCCTTCTGCCCCTCCCCCTGTTCCTTCCGTATTCCCTCATTTTTTAAGGTTTTTTAAGTTTAAGAGTCTGTTAAGAATTAGTGGGGAAGAAACATGAGGCTAATGCCAGAGCGAGGTATTAAGATTGCGGTTATGTAGGCCAAGCTAAATTAGTCCCCTATTAATGAAAATAAATAGTTGATTGTTTCTTTCATCATGTATTAAACTTCCATTTTGTTTTCAGTTATAGGCAAAAGCTATGATTATGGTATAGATATGTGGTCTGTAGGTTGTACCTTATATGAACTCTACACTGGAAAAATTTTATTTCCTGGCAAAACCAATAACCATATGTTGAAGCTCGCCATGGATCTCAAAGGAAAGATGCCGAATAAGGTAGGACATTAATGCGAGCTGTTATTTTTTTTTTCCCCCAAGGTCTTAGCAATAGTTTACTGTAGACCAGTGGATTGCTGACACTTTACTCATCACTAGTGCCTGTAAAACCATTTCAGAAAGGCAGGTGTATGGCTACTGTAATTCCTTAGCTTTTTTTTTTAATTTCTGTTGTTTAAAAAATAGTGGGTCTAATCAGCCAAGAGGTATCAAAAGTGAGTGAGAGAACTCCATTTTCCTGTTCCCCTCTAATGTCTCTCTTTGCTTTTCTTTACTCTTAAATTAAGCAGGAGGGTAGGGGGCAATAGTTTAGAGTAGAGTTGGAATTGAGGAAGAGAGATTGATGAGCATAAATTTGTTAAGCACCATACATGTATATATGACTGTTTCATATCTTTGTTCTTCCCTTGTTCCATTTATTATCCTTTAATGATGGGCAGAGAAGCAGCCTTGGGAGCACACCGTTATTGGTAACAGCACCAAACATGCTTGAGAGGTGGAATGAAAAAAGATGCAGGTCAGGTTAGTTCAGATGTGAAGAAGGGCTCAGTTGTCAGAGAATGACGGGTGAATATTGGAAAAGGAACTTGATGGCAATCAGTTTATTAAAGACTGGAAGTTATTTGGGAAAGGATGGTACCAAGAAAAACTCACTTAAAATTGACATCTTTCTAACATAAAACTCACCCTTAATGCTTCAGCCACAATAATTAGTTTCAGAAATGAAGCAGAAACTTCAGGCATTTATAAACCTGTCTGAGGGCCATATCTTAAAACTGTGATGATTCCAGCTTATTTGGTGAATTTCTGAGAGATTATACAGATTTTTCCCCATATAGGTCAGAAGCCATTATGTTTTTTAGGTACTGTCCAAATTCTCTCATGTTGGACTAGAATAAGTTACACAGAAATTAGTTATGTTGGTATTTGTTTTAATGAGGTCTGACCTGTATCATTTCAGGGCTATTGGAACATAATTTGTAAAACGTCATCGGGTTTCCTAAGCTGCCAAGAAAAAAGGCCCCAGCTGTGTAATAATTTTCCTAGGAACAAATGATTTTGTCTTTGTTTGAGTCTCAATTTTGAATAATGAAAGCACAACGTGATATTATAATTGGTTTAAGTCACTGCCTGGGAAAATATAATTTCAAGTTATTAAGTAGTTTCAGGCACAGAGCATTTATATTAGCTTTTTCAAAGATGTTAGACTCTCCAGAGCAAGGAATCTAACTGAATCCTTAAATGAGGAGACTAAATAAGTCCTATTTTTGACTTGTTATGTATCAAATTGTTGGTAGGCCAGACTGTTTCATAATAGTTCAAAATCCAAGTTTTATTTTGCTTTATTGCCAGATGATTCGGAAAGGTGTATTCAAAGACCAACATTTTGATCAGAACCTCAACTTCATGTATATAGAAGTTGATAAAGTAACAGAGAGGGTAAGTGTTTCTTAACTGTGCTACAGTAAATGATTGTCTTACTGTGAACGAGCTGAATACTGGGTGGTAGTAGGAGCTGTGAATATTTAAAACACTAAAAATAATTCCTTTTTGCTGGTGGCCATTTCCTGAATAAAACACAATGAGGTTATGAGAAAGAGGAAGGATTTAAAAATGTTTGTCTAGTATAATGAGTCTATTTTTATCGTAGGTCATAATTAGGCCCTCTTCCTCTGTTCTTTGGATCATTTTCTTTCTCTGGCCTCCCATCCAGCTTCTGGACTACTTACCAGAGTGATCTTTTTGAAAACAAATATCATGTTATTCTCCGTGCTTAAAATCCCTTCATTGGGTTCCTCTCTGATGAACTCTGCCTCTGCTGTTTTGAGCAGTTTGCATACCCCCTCATGGTACTCTGTAAACCCCCCCATTCCACACTTGGCAGTCAGCTGAAGGGCATGCTGTGTCATACCTCTCTGCCTTTGTTCACAGACCATCCTGACCTTACTTGCCTCCTCTCCTTCCTCATCCCCTAAAAATAATTTATCCAACTTCAAGCCTCAGGGGAAATACACATTCTCTATGAGCCTTTCCAAATCCTCCAGGTTGAAGTAAGGACTTCTCTGTTTTTGCCCCATTATATTGTCTGTTCCTAACTTTGTCAGAGCCCCTAACAACAAACACTTCCATGTCTGTCTGGCACCACTTCGGGGTAGGGAGAGGACAGTTCAGACAGGAAGTGCTTACTGTTAATTATTAATTACTTAACGGTGTGGGGATTTTCGTAGACTTCTTTCTGTTAGCAGTTTGATCTTTTTACAAACGTGGAGTATGTTTTTTAAAAACTATCATAGCTAACTTGGGGTTGATTTTTTTCATTCAGGTTTTTCGGTTACTTCTTAAAAAGATGTAGGGAATAGAGGAAGTCACATAGAAGTTTTAAATGAGTAGATAATACATATATATATATATATCAAATATATATATATATACACACACATATGTATATATATTAGAAGTTCTGATACACCAAGCAGTCTGATTTAAATTAAGGTACATATGCTTAGTAACTCATGTAGACATACACATTTTTAAAAATTATTTTTAGGAGAAAGTTACTGTCATGAGCACCATTAATCCAACCAAGGACCTGTTGGCTGACTTGATTGGGTGCCAGCGACTTCCTGAAGACCAACGTAAAAAAGTACACCAGCTAAAGGACTTGTTGGACCAGATCCTAATGTTGGACCCCGCTAAACGAATTAGCATCAACCAGGCCCTACAGCATGCCTTCATCCAGGAAAAAATTTAAACGAGATGAAAGAAGCTCCAAGGGTTTGAGTAATTAAATACAAAGACTGAAGAAATTTCACAGCAGTTTATTAATGTATATAAACTTATAAATATTTCTCCAGCAAATTTGAGGAAGCATGATATATTTGAATTAACACCAAGGGTGATATTTCTTTTAGAAATGTTAGTTAATCTGTTTTGTGTCTTATGTGAAATTTCACTGTAGAACTGTTTTAATTGCCAAGACTGCACAGAATTACAGTGCTAATGTATATGGTTGCAGTTCACATAAAAGACAAAAGCATCTGTTATAAAATGAGTAGTAATACTGGGTGGTTGATTTATTTTTAGCAAACTTGGCTTCATATTGGTCTTCGGATAAAATGGCCAGCATAAATGCTGTTTATATTCACGTTTTCCTAGGTGTGTGTGTGCAGGCCACAGCAGCATGCCCTTGGTGTAGTCAGTGCCGAAAGGGGTCTGTTCCTTCTTGAGCCTGCCTGCAGGGATGGTCTCCTCTTTTAAAGCAGGTTGTGTACAACATTCAGTACACTGAAGGTAAGCTAAACCATCAACATCACTGGTGTTTTAAGATGTTATTTTATTGGAACAGTTGACAAATGAGGGATATTAGCTTTGTGGCGGAATTCCCTGCATGTGTGATAACTGATCTTGTTTTATTTTTTGGCATTGCAACTGTGGCATAGTTACAGTTTCTGTTCTGTTCATCACATTTAAAATTGGAAGAGTATGCGCTTGATGGATAGAGCGCCTTCAGTGTACTGTTTCTTATTAACTTTAATTTTTTTAAATCAACTTGCTATAGACTTTATATACATTTTGTTAAATACAGTTCGTAGTGACGTAGAAACAAGGCATAGTTTTCCTTTACTAATTACACATGTTGAGGCCTAATTCTGAAAGTCCTCATATTTAAAAGTTAGACAACATAATGAAATTTTTAACTATTTGTATGTCATTTTGAAAGTGTACTGCTTTATGGTAAAAGTGTTTTTCATTTGTTCATTGTTTTCATTATTTGTGATCATGTTGTCTTTCAATACAGGCATAAACCTTCCACTCTTGAACAAAGCAGCTGCTTTTTAAAAGCGGTAATTGCTTCTTTACCTTTTATTTCTTTTGTAAATGAAGCTTTTCTTTAAGAATGTGACTTTAAAGTGTTGTCTATTGCATAAAACAGTTGACACTCACTTATTGTAAAGTGAAGATTGTTCTCCTGCATGTGAAGTGGACCATGCAGATTTCTGTATGTTCTCAGTATGCATCACTAGATAATAAAGTCTTTTGTGAACAAGGCATTTGTAGCCATTTTTAAAAGTTTTTGTCTTCAGTGCTGGTAAGTCAGGTAAACCATACATAGTTAAAAAGCAATCTTTCATTTCTTCCTTTAAGTCTTTAAAAGATTTATTTGTTAAAGATGTAAGCTTAGCCACAAGTTGATCATTTTATTAATAATCAGGATCCTATTTCATCAAAAAAAAAAAAATCCTACAGATATTGTCAGCTTTCAGTGTAGTGAGATAATTCCTGTAGGTTACAGGGTATAATTCAGGATTTAACTAATGTTTCTGCTATTTTCTCACTTTTCCTTTTGATGGTGCGGAAAGAGAAAAGGAAAACGGGGCACAGGCCACTCACCGCCTTCTCCAAGGGGTCTGATTTGCTGAGACACCAGCTTCACCTTCTTAACAAGGTTATTTCTGACAGCATGTGTAGTTAAACATTTAGCAACGATTTAAAACAAAATCCTGTAAATCAGCTTGGTTTTGCAACACAAAGGAATTTGTATTTTTAACATGGTAGGAGAGCATTTTCAGAAATGTATGTACATCTTTTCTGTTTGGGTGGTAACATTAATGCTTGTCTTCCTGAGCATTGTGGAAAATAACCAGATTTTGGGGGTTTAAATAATATTTTTAAATTGTAAATGGGATTTTTTTATTCACCCAGGCACCTAATTACAACAAGCATGCACATTTTGGTGCATTCAAGAATGGAAAATCAGAATAGCAGCATTCTTCTGGTGGGTTTTGCTCCATTTAAAGACATGAACTACAGCCAGGAAGGTGATAGATGATATAATAAGCCAACTTTGAATCTACACCCCGTCTCTTCATGGTTTAGACTTACTAAAAATAAATAAAAGGTGGTTTCCATCTTCAGGTAGTGAAGCCTTTTAAATAAGGCATCACAGGTGCAGCTTGTCTACCTTACCAAAATGGGTAGTGATTTTCCCACCATGACTTACTTTATTTTGGTGATAATATGCTGCATATTCAAGTCTTTGGTAGTTATTTTCACTCGAAATAGTTAACATTTTGATGCTTCTGGTGATTTTCATGACTTCATTTTATATAATTATTTAATAAGTTAACTTCCACTAGAAACAGTTCATCTTATGCCTTCAAAACTATTACCTATTCTTTAAAAAACAAAGTTGCTTGTTACTTGTTCTTTGTGTTTTAGGTGCAGTTCAGTGGAAGATGATGACAGCCAGAAGACATGAGCTAAGGTTTCTGTCCTATAAAAGATTTAAAAAAAAAAAAGAAAGAAAAAAAAAAGGAGTTCTCCATTTAATTTTTGTCTAATTTTTTAGTTTTCAGCATTATGATTTGGGTTTCGTTAATGTTTGGCACTTAGAATAGTAGTGCTGTTGTGTTCATCTGTAAAGTGCTTGTTTTATCATGCTTCCTGCCTCCTTCCCCTCCCCCCCAATAAAAACGGTAGTCAAATTTAGTGACTCTTTATGAAAGAGAGATTCTACATAACATATGGCCATCAGAATTGGTTCCTAGGGGTTATTAGAAAAATAGAAGCCACCAAAATCACATATATCAGAAAGTAGTCTTTAGCTTTAGGTATCTTATCTCCTTGGCAGATGCAAAAGAATAGAAAGCAGAACTTTAAGAACACTGTTACTCAACTCCTTTAATACTCTAGTCCCCGACTTTCCCTTTTAGTAACTGTTTTTGCGAGTGCTCCAGTCATGGTCTTAAGATAGACAAAATATTTAGAACCACTGTCCGTTTTTCTTCTAAAGTGAGAGAAGTAGATCTTTGTTCCCAAATTTAGCATTCCTAGATTTGTCTATTCTAAAAACCCATAAACATTCTTTATGTACATGTACATGATTTTATTAGAATTAATAATTTTGCTGAGGCAGAGATTTGGAACTTTGTAAGACCTCTATTAGATGATGGTCATAATTTAGTGAATTATTTTAGCCTGCATTCATATTTCAGAGAAGCTGTATAGTTTTCAGATAAGTTAATCTCTGATGAAGCATTTGTTTTATTATACTTCACAGCAAAAATATCCCCTGATTGTCAGATGTCAGGGTTCCTAAGTCTTAGGGTCTAACCCTCAAAAAGATCATAGTTCTTTCTGTAGTCAGTGGGGAGGTGAGATCCAGAAAGCAGATACACTGTGGACCCTGTTCTCTGTGTGAACCTTATTTTCAAAGTCATGGTTTAGAGTATCGAGGTTCGAGTATCAGGTTGGAGTATTGAAGTTTTGAAGGAAGGGAACATCTTAATTTTAAAGACCTTCCCAGTATTCACATTCACCCCTTAGTCCTTATTAGTTGCATCCTGTTGATTCTCCAGTGTATAACTCATTCTACTCTACTACTTTCAAAATAAGTTTGTTTTTAAGATACTGTAATTTTTTTCCCATTATAATAACCACCTTTTTTCTCCAAAACAAATACTCAGGACATTTCTACAGTACAGAAAGATGTATGTTTTATGGTATGTGGTAGAGGCAGAGAAATGTGTAGTGTTCTCAGAACTGTTTCATATTTGCATTCCTTCTACTATGCTTTACCTGTTCTTTATCATTTTGTAACGCTAGCCTGCTAGGTAGAAATAAATCTCTGGAGTGAAACAGAGGAATCACAAATCTTCAAATTTAGGCCAAGTAGTTAAAGAATGCCCTTTTAAATGTTGGAGATAACTCAAGTAATTTCCTTTCATTAGTTATAATGACATCATTAGAAATTGGGCTTCATAAAAAGTGTTTATTTCCTTGTAGTATCCTAGTTCAAGCATATATTCAACATGAGTTTTATCATCCTCCTAGATGGAATATCTTCCTTATGGAAATGTTCACTACAAATTCATTTGTGTTTTTTTACATGTCAGTAGTGTACACTAAATTGACTTTTAGAATGTTTTCCAGTTATTTGATAGATATCATCATGGCATCCTTAATTTTTTTTTTCTCCTTCTGTATGTAGGGTAAGGGACTATTCTTCTGAAGAATCTTTCCATTTAGTGATCAAGATATGGAAGCTGGTCTCTGAAAATACTCAATATGTATCCCAGTTACTCATGGTATCATTTGAATTGTAACCTGCATTTTAGCAATGTTTCCAATTATTGGGAAAACTTAATAAAATGTGCCTCTTGTTACCGTATTGTTTCCTGATTTTTCCTTTGCTGGAATTTGCTATTTTACGTTTAGTTTTAAGTTAAAACACTATTTCCTACCTAAGGTTTCTTAGATGCTATTTCACTGGTGTTCATAGATGTGCTTTGAAGGGTATTCTGTGCCCAAATATGATTGGCAACTGCCAGATTACAATTAGATATTTATGTTAAAACTTCTCAGAAGACACTGTGTGCATTGTGAACCTCAGTGAAGGAGGAAGGTGTGGAGAGAAGTTGACCAAACCACTTGGCAGAACCTGCTGCATGGAAACGGCCAATTTAGTATGATCTTTCTTAAAAACATCAAAATCTTTCCTAGCAACTAAGTGCAGAACACAGGCCAAAGGGTTTGGTATTCGTGTTCTTGTTACATATATTTCTGATTTGGTTATCCTAATAATGAGAAAACATCATAAGTAATGAGATCACACCCTTTTCTGTAATGATTTAAATCAATTGGTTCATTGTAGATGGGGAAGCCTGACAAATAATTGGACTGTATCCTTAGTCTGTCTGCTCATTTTCTCTTAAGGAAACGTTCTCAGCTTAGAACAAGCAAAAAACTGTAAAATACCTAAGAGGAATGGGGAGACTGAGTGAATCTTCAATGCAAAGCAGGACTGGAGGAGGCAGGGCCAAATATCTGGCTGTGTGGAGTACACCTGACCTAGCAGGTGCCACCTTCTCTACCTAGTTGTCGAGTCCTGGTTTTTGTAAGAGATGGGCCATAAAGGCAGTGGCCCTGGACAGCCGCCTTGCAAAGGCCCCAGTTGTAGTTTTCTACTTGGGCTGGCAAAGGATTAAAAACTACATACTCCTCTGTCTAAAGCAACTGACAAGGGTCATGAGATCCTGTTTTTTGTTAGGGAAGGTGCATTGGGTTTGGGAGGCGGTTATGGCAAACTTTGAAGAGAACTTTTCTACATGTGCCTTCATTGACGAGAAAGTCAGAATCTGCCTTGGGTAAGATCCAAAAAGCTAAGAAAAGGTGTCCGACTGGACAGCGAAAACATGGGGAATGTATAAGCAAGCCAGAAAGCCAAATTCAACTCAAATTTCCTGAACAGAAATATTTCAGTTTATATGTGTCTGTTAGAAGCTGCCAAGTGTTTCTTCAAAAATAGTGGTAGAAGTTGGTTTCCAACAGGTTTGAAAAATAGCCAAGTCTTTCAAGTTTGTTGGTAACTACAGTGCTCCCACCCCCAACAGTAAGTTTTTCTCTTAGCCAAATATTTCCTGTTTTACTCCCATCAATTCACAAGATAAACCGAAGATGGCTACATCTACTTCCTATATATATGCCTCTTCTAGCCTCATTTTAGGGACTCCATTTAAAAAATTTCAACTATTTTTACTAATGATCATAATGTTAAAATAAGTACCTTTGCTTCATAATTGAAGTCAGCATTGCTGCTAATGCATTTTTTACATAGTTATATTTGAAGCAGTTTGGGACTAATTGAAAACTGATAGGTGTTTCAGTAACTAACTCCTTTTTTAGGTCTAATGGCATCCTAAATAAAGTAGCCTGGTTATGTTTCCAGTGAGAAATTTGCCCTACCTATCTCTTAAGATACCAAAGCCCAGAATCCATCTCCCACCCCCCAAAGCAATCCTTCAGTGCAGGAATGTATTTTTTGGAACTGCTGACGCAGTGACCTATTCCCTCTACCTCTATAATACTCCTCCCTACCTCCTGTTTCCTGTCTCCCATGTCCACTCCCACTCCTGGTCTTCCTGGAAACCAGGGCTTGGTCTTCACACTCCACAGCATGTTCCTGACGCCGGGCACATGCCTTGCAAGAAGCAGGATGTGAATAATCGGGAGTTGTTCCTCCAGTGACAGTTAATTCAGTGCCAAGGCAGCTCATTCCATCCGGTGTGCCCTCCTGTGTCATTCCGGTTTTTCCCCCGATCTGTTTTTTAATTTGTCAGGCACGTGATCCAATCCTCCCGTGATTATATGAGAGAACAGGTCCGAGCCGAGGTTAAGGAACCTGCCCGAGGTGCAGATCTGTTAAGTGGCAGCGCCTGGCTGTGGAGCGGTGCTTGTAACTGCTGTGTCACATAACCGGCGTCAAGGCTGGGCCAAGTTCTTTCCTTAATCCAATACTTGGAAGGTATCTACGGACCAGGCGATGGTTCAGGCTAAGAGTGGTGAACAGAACAGGCAGGTCCCTTTCCTGGCGCTTTTACAGATAAAAATTACATCATTACGAACCTAAAGGTGAGGGGATGAAATCCAAGCAAGTAAAGAAGGTAGAAATGAGAATGGGTAAGAAGTCTGCCAACTAAGGCTCGGGACTCAAGTTAGCGTTGTAACAATGAGAGGAAAGGGGGTTGACGGGAAACAAGAAAGACCATTGCAAGCTGGGATGGAGTGAAAGCATGAGTCCGTTTTTACATTCTGTTCTGTGAGAGGGATGTTCTACCTCTTTGGATAATGACACCAACCACGGGATTTAGGTAAAGTTCTGTTCTACAATAGGAACAGTTAAGTTTATTTTTCTCTTGCCATGTTGATACAGTTCCAGAAAATTCTTTGGAATTAATCTAAAAACAGCCTACTCTCTTTGACCTCTGCTTCTAATTCTTTGAGCCTTATTCTTTTACTAAAAATAGAGGAAACTGAAGCCACAGTTGCTCTCTTCAATATGTATTTGAATTGTCTTTTAATTCATCTCCCCCATCCCTATCTCGAATATTTCATCTGGCTTGGTGTGGAGGGGGTGGGTGGGGCAGGGAAGACGATACACGATATTGACCACGCCTTGGCAGGGGGCTGGGGAGTAGGGCGCCTTTTACTTGTTTCCTTTGGGCAACACTTGAAGTTTTCATCGTGTTATTTTTTTAATGTTTAAGAAAAACTCTTGAATTCAACCATCCACTGAAACCAAAGCACACTATTCCCACCCTCCCCCCCGCCCGCCCAAATATCCAGACTCTGAGCTATGCATTTTACACCAACTTTTTCCTTTACAGTGGTTTTCAAAGTGTGATTCAAGAACCACCCGCATTAAAATCACCTGGGATGTTTGTTTACAATGCAGGTCCCCAAGCCCCACTCTCAGGTGCTGTGTCCTTGGGCTTGGGACAGAACCCTGGACTCAACTTTTTTGTTTCCCTGATTAGGTGCAGTAAGGTGTGTCAGTCACATAGTACCCCCTACACACACACACTTTCTATTAATGAGATAAGCTTTAGCTGTTTGCTTTTCAACTAACCGGGGTTAAGACTTAACAAAGAACTTTGGGGAAAAGTTCCATTAACAGATTTTTGGCTGCTCTGTGGACAGCAACATTTTCTCATTTTTCCTTTGACATTCTAAAACTGTTAGGTCTGAGTGGAAGAGGGTTGTTTCATGCCTACAACTACCATTCGGCCCCAAAAAACTGATTTCGCTTTCATGTATATGACAAAGGACCTGGGAAAGGAAAACTTTTTAAGATTCACTGGAGGATCTAGAGGATCTTGCATATTAATTCAACAAAATCACAAGTATCTTAGCTTTTAATGGTGAAAAAAAAAAACTCAAAAGATAGGTCAAGATGATAGACAAAGGAGATTTTAGAGCTAGCAAAGGAAAGAAAAAAACGTACCAGAGCGGGAAGAACTAAAAAAATTAATTTGCTAATAGAGGTAATGTACTCTTAAGACTATAATGGAACACAAAATACACCAGCAATCAGTCGATTACAGCGTTTACAGAATTCTACTGGGAAACACAACAAAAGAATAATCTTTTGAATAGTTTACAAAGTGAAACATTCCTTTGAAACATGACATGCAAAAGATTGTCAAATATGTCAGGATGGAAGCCCTTGGATTTATATATAGACATTTCAGCAGTGCTTTTCACAAGTTCCACTCCACATCACATCAAGTTATTCATGTGTGTAATACCTGTATCTCAGCATGATGAACCGTATTTTAGCCAAGCTTCTTGGAAATAGATTTGCTCACATGGAGATGCAGGAGAGAAAAGTTATTTTTGGTCAATGGGTGAACACTTATCCTTACCTACAAAGGAAGGCGATAAACAGTTAACTTCTGAATACAGAATGGTTTGTTCAATTCTATGTTTTTTTGATAAGGTTTCTTTTTGGTCCTTGGTGCCTTAATGTCTTCTCTGTGATTTTCGGGAAAAGAGAGAGGTATAGATGAAACTGGTATTGGAGACCTTGGTGGCAGACATCTTGTGGAGACCATTTTAACCAACGATTGAGTTGTTTGGGAAGTAGTGAGCTTGGTTGAGAGTTCTTGGCATGGATTCAAAATGGAGCTTTTGAGATTCCTAATGTCATCACAAGTTGCCATCAATTGTTTGGTGGCAGATGAACTTTTTAGAGACGGTGGTCTAGAAGTCCATTTGTATGTATTGCTGGCATTGCTCCAATTCCATTTGGAAGCATTTTGTTCAAGCTTGCAAGATCCAGAACTGCTTTTTCTTTTTTCGCGACTTTTATCTACATAAGTTGTCTGAAGACTCAAAGAGTCCGAAAGTTTTGGTTGTCTCACTTTGGGGATAGCTTTGGAGGAAAAGGGTCGCTCAGTAGCCGCTGGAGCGCAGAAGGTAGTTTGAAGTCTGGGCCTCTCTTTTTGTATAGTTATGTGTTGTAACCTTTCCATTTCCAGTAAACGAGTTATCAAATGTTTAATAGAGCTTTCGGGAGGTTCCACTGTTGCTTTCCAATTCTCAGATTTTGAGAGGGCTAATTTGTGCAAGTCCAGAGTATTGAAAGGAGAAGGGAGAAAATCAGGATATGGAAATACTTCATTTGGTTCCTCTGTGAAAGATTCCTCAACATTTTCTATTGTTTCTGGCTTTAAGTTCAGGTCCATCTTTTTAAAATAGCTGAGCAAACTATCATTTGCTTTTTCATTTTCTGATAAATCACTTTCATCTGTTAAGTTTTCTTCCACACTGCTGTTTCCATATTTCAAATTCCAATTTGGGGCAGATAAGCTTTCACCATTACTGTTT